ATAAACATGCATCATTCGATTATAATCAAACAATATATCATTCAAAACTTCATACAAGAAAGATCCTAACTCATGGAACTAGGGTTCCTCAAAACCTAAGTGAAGGGAAGTTACTCCATAGAGAAGAGAGAGACTGCAGAAATCTGATCTAGATCTTCAATCTTCATCTCCAAGCTTGATTCCCGAGCTCCAATGGCGAAGAAATCCTCCAAAATAGCTCCAAGAATGTTCCCAAGTCGCTCTCTCCCTCTAGGGTTCGTCCCTTGGGTGTTTGGGATCCAAAACCCAGCTCTAAAACACAACACCTAACAATGGCCAAGTGTAACCAATGAAAGGGACTGCAGTATAGTGGCACAGGTAATAAATATCGAATCCACGGGTCTCTAGAGTTACTATTACTCAGCTTCAGTTCATTATCTAGCAAACTAGATTAAGGATTGATTAACTAAACTGCTCTACTAACTAAAATAAGTAAAACTACTAATTACACTTTGCGAACTCGCTTAGGTATGATTCCCCCTTGCTCCTCAATTAGGTCCAAGTTGTAATTCCTTTTGGTTGTTTTACTGTTGATTAAACTGCGGAAGATCCGACAGTAGCTTGGAATCTCTTAAGCTGACCAAGCCCTCTCAGTCTAACTATCCGGCAGACGACTAGTCTTCACCGGGATAGACAGCTGAAGCAATAAGCACAGAACTCCACTACTGGAATTGGATTCCAGTACAAAGCAGTAAACTGGCTAACTCTCGTATAGCCAATCTCCTACTACCGAATGATGAGGCTCTAACAACCTAATCAGATTCTATCTATCTCAGGTTGCAGCAGAAATCAGGAAAAGTTGATCAGACTTCAATTGACTCAATAAACATGCATCATTCGATTATAATCAAACAATATAGCATTGAAAACTTCATACAAGAAAGATCCTAACTCATGGAACTAGGGTTCCTCAAAACCTAAGTGAAGGGAAGTTACTCCATAGAGAAGAGAGAGACTGCAGAAATCTGATCTAGATCTTCAATCTCCATCTCCAAGCTTGATTCCCGAGCTCCAATGGCGAAGAAATCCTCCAAAATAGCTCCAAGAATGTTCCCAAGTCGCTCTCTCTCTCTAGGGTTCGTCCCTTGGGTGTTTGGGATCCAAAACCCAGCTCTCCCCCTTTCCTGGTGCTAAAAATCGGATTTTAAACAACAATTCCCGACTCACACGGCCAAGCCACACGGCCGTGTGGCTTTCCCAGCTGCCCGTGTGAAGGCTCGGTGATTTCCACACGGCCACATGGCCAGGTCACACGGCCGTGTTGGTTGTGCCCGTGTGGCTTGCTCAGCCTCTGTTTAATGCTTCGTTACTCCCTCGTCCAGACTCCGAATCACTCGCCGTTTGATCCCAGACGCTCGTAGTCTCGTCCTCTTTCTTTTCATGACAAGCTTGCATGATTCTTTGTCCATAAAGTGCGGTTGAAATCCATTCTTCTTCAGGTCATACCCGAGTTTCTTCTCCCGAATCGTCAATTGATCTCTGATTGACTGGAAACTTGCGCCTATGCTTCACTTTATGTGCTAGGACCTGAAATGTGACAAAGGAACACAACCTAGCATAAAATAGGCCAAATACACGATAATTCAAGCTCAAACAATCAAGAAACAAAGTGGAAAATATGTGCAAATCCGAGTCATCAGTCGCCGAGGTAACCACCCCTTCATTGTCTTCCATGTACTCTTGATATGACCCTAATTCTTAGAGAATCTCGAATTCAGACCAAAACACCAGCGTTGCACACGTCGAACTATTTAGGGCTTTTCTCTTTTCTTGAGTAACACAAAAAGATAGTTTGCAGAGATCGATCAATCAATCCCTGGCCTGTGGGAAAGACCAATCAATATAGTCAAACTCACCACAACTAGATGTGATCTTCTAGTTGGTAAGAGACACTCGAACCTCCCAAATCTTTAAAATAAATTTAAGTAATTGTTCACAAATGAACACAGTAAACACTCTTTAAAATTGATAAATAAAATCTTAATGAACGCCCTTCTTTAAATAGGCTTATGAACCCAAAAACCAAACTACAAAGGATTATAAATCCCGACTATAAAAGAAAAACAAAAATTTAACAAACAAGTAAAATACTAAGTCAAACTCCTCCTTATTCCATGCCTTCAAATCCACCCCTTGTGTTTATATTTGAGATTCCATTCACGCCATGAGAACCCCTCATAGTCAGAATCCATCTTCCCTTCTTCCAAGCCCATCTTCTCTTTATTCTAGTCCATAAATCGTAGCAATTTAATGGACTTCCATTCTAGCAACTCCATGTTCAAGCCTTCTAAATTCTTGCCCAAATAACTTGCAATTTGTTGTCATAATGCTTTAGTCTTTGCACGAGTTATTGGGCCTTCTTCTTGAGCAGACTTGGGCTTGATGACCTCATCAGTCCTTCCCTTTTGAAAAGGATTTTCCCTCAAATTCGAATCATCATCCAGAAATGGTGCAAGATGAGAAACGTGGAAGGTTGCAGTTGAGCCATACTCTTCTGGTAGGTCAAGCTTGTAGGCATTACTCCCAACGTTCAAAATCACTTGGAAGGGACCTTCACTTCTTGTCAACAAGTTGGATCGCCTTTGATGTGGAGGGGACCTTCACTCGAGTTGGATCTCCTTCCTCATATGCACCCACACTCAATCTCCTGCTTGAGGCTTTCTATGCTTGTTGAAGCTCTTCATAATCTGCTCTGTTCTCCTCTCAATATTCAATCATGCTTTCTCATGGAGATTCTTCACATTCTCTTCCTTCTTTGCTCCATCCAATTTGACTTGCTCATTCAAAGGTAAAGGTGTCAAATTATGGTGTAAGAGGATTAAACCCATACATGAGCTCAAAAGGAGATTATTTTGTCGTCGAATGCACAACCCTGTTGTAGGAAAACGCCATGTGTGGTAGTGTTGATGCCAAGCTAAAATAGCCGAACTCAAAAGTTGTAGAGTCCAGAGAGTGTTGACCTTTTGAATTTTGTTGGATTCAAACTCTCGATATGAACACTTACAAACAAGGACCCGCCAGTTGTTGTCGGCTGGGAGCCTGAGACCTTTTCCAAAGCTCAAGTAAGTAATCGGAATTAACCGGGAGTGGCTTATTGAGCTGGTTCTAGGAAAAAACAAAGACAAATTATGGGGTTGGAAGTTTCCAATTCGTCGAGAAGAAGTTCGTCGGGAATTCCTTTTTCGATCTCATTCAGAGAAAGTAAGTTCTCTAGATTTGAGATGGATTGCAAGGAAAAATAAATTAGTATCCTATTTATAGGTGTCTCCTATCCTGACGTGGGTGGCGTTTTCTTTATTAATCGTGAATAAATAACAATTTGAATTGACAAATTAATTGGAGGTTGAGAAATTTGTCTTAGACGTTAGTGCATGCCCGCATGCATACCATTACTACTAGCACAATAAACTGTCCAAGCTCACCTTATTGGCTTACACCTGTAAAAGTATGGGTTTGGATGCAGTGAAATTAAAGTATTGATTGGTGGAGATTCAGATTTAGTGAATGGGTTAACTGGTGGGGAGTACATACTTTAATTCCACGTGTAATCTGTTTAATTGGATTCTTCGATTGCTGGAGAGGGTTGTGACTCGCACAAAACTACACCACAATAAAATCCCAACTAGTGAATCGGAACGATTGCTTTGGGCATGGTAATCGCGAGCCACAGAGGGATGCATATATGGTCGGAGACCACAATCTCAATTGCTAAACCGAGGTAAGAATGAAAGGTCGTGTCACTCGAACCTCTCGGTTTAGACAATCGATAATTGACTTACTCCCCACTCAACTCTAAGGTCGGACGGCTTCAGCACAATTAACTGACTTGCTTAACTCAATATCGAGGTTTGCCTTAACATAACCTAGCTTAGGTGACTTAGAAAGTGGAAGGAAAACCAACTCGATTGAGTCTCCCTTGGAAGGGGGAATTTCCTTTCTAAGCTAGGCTAAGGTGGCTATTTAGATTGCTAGCACCTACATGCACAAACCTAAGGGTGCTAAGCACAACCTCTAAGTTGCTAAGCACAAGCATGCACAATCATGATAAATAATGCCTCAATCATTGAATTTAACAATACCCAATGACAATCATCCAATACACATAAAAGAAAACTACATGGTAGAGTTAGGGTTTCACAACACCCAAGTGAAAGGAGGTCTAATCCATGCTATAAGTGGGAAAAACAAAAGGTAAAGAGATGGAAACCATCTGTGGAGGATGCTCTCAGTCTTCTTGGCCCTTGAGTTGAGCTTTCCATGGAGCAAATCTTCCCAAAATCTGCCTTGAAACTAAACCCTAACCTTCTTCTCCCCTTGGTTCGTGTTTCTCTCTCTAGAATGTAGAAGATGGCTTTTCCACAAAATGGGATCTCCCCTCTCTCCTCCTTTCAGCTTATCTTTTAAACCAGAGGTGAGTTGAGTTCTCGGTCGTGAACCATGAAACATGTCAGTGAACTGCAGGCATGCGCCAAAACGCGCCGCATCGTTCACTCGAGTTCACGGTCAACTGCCTTTGTTCACGGTCTTAGTGACCGTGAACTCACCTTGCGTTAGTAACCTTCACTTTGGCTCTAGACGCCTCGCGATTCACGGTCAACTCCTCTTCTTCACGGTCCTTCAAGAGTCAAGACCGTGAACTCCCTTTGTTAGCCGTGAACTGGCTCTTTTTCACCTCTTATCTTGGTTTTTGATCCTTTTCGCCAAACTTTCGACTCCGAGGCTGGTTTCACCTTTTTAATCCTGAAACACACTCAAGTACGAAGAACCTAGCGTAAAACCAACCTTTAAGGAGCGAATTTGACACAAACACCTAAGTAAAATGGGGTCAAAACATGTGCAATTAGGCCCGAATCACTCCCCCACACTTAGACGTTTGCTTTCCCCCAAGCAAACTATTTCACGCACACGGTAATATTTCAACCTACAAAAATACTTTGGGGACAACTCAAAGGGCATAAAACGGGAATTCTCGATGTTTATTGACAATCAACACATGTCTGTTGCAAGCCATACCGACATCCACCATAAACGACATTCAAATCCACCAAAACGGAAAAATGAAAAGTTCTCAACCTATTCATGGATAAATGCAAGTCTCAACAAAACCACTTATCGAGCACAACCAACCATGCATGGAATTCAAGTCCGAGGAACAAATGGAAAGGCAACAAAGGTCCTCAACGGGGTATGAAATGGTAAGTAAAACAAGAATGGATCACTCACTCTCAAGACCAGTGGGGTCGGGACCTTTTTGGTGCAAAAGATGTGCACAATAATAACCTCTCGCCCCTATCATCTCAATACCACGGTGGTAACCACTAAACGCTAGAGTTCACGGGATGGTTGTCACCACTAGCTCGTCCGGAGGTCTTAGACACGGGTTCAGATGACTAGTGATTGGCTCGGACATGGGGAAAAGGCTTTTTGGGTGGTGGCAATCATGACATGATGTTCTACATCTTCAACCTAAACACGAAGGGTCTATGGTTTTGACTAAAACCCTTCTCTTCAATCAAAGGCCACTAGCATCGGCCAAAAACCTTATCTCTCCCTTCCAACTATCACCCATCATGAACTACCTTGAAGCACTCTTCCTCGGTCAACTCTTGCTAGCTCTTTCGGGTTTGGTAGTGAAGGAGTTCTAAACAATGTGGGGGTTCTGATGGCTTGGTTTCCAAGAAACCCCTCCTAGAGCATGTACTTTGGTTTTTCGTGGCACTCTCTACTTTATTTACCCTATTTTATTACCTCTTTTTCGTTTCTCTTTTCTTTTCTTTCTCTTTTTTTTTCTTTTTGAGGGGGGTACTAGAGAGTAAAACACTTGCCACCTAAACATTTAACGACCAATTCTCTCTTTTTGAGGAACTCACTCCAGCACTACACTTCATTTCGCATTCCTAGCAAGAACCGCACACAAAGCTCCTATGTAGAACCTCTATGGAGACTCAAAGGTGAGAGCTCCGGAACACATGTGTGACTCATGTTTAGGCACAAAGAAAGGATTGGGGGTCGTTCTACTAACACCTTTATGCTCAGACGCACGAAGCTCCTAAATTGAGAACGACCCACGAAGTCACAGTGCTCAAAGGGGTTGACTAAAGGATGATACATTTTGAGACAATCAACATTTGGGCGTGGACTCATCCTATGCCTCCATCATACTTGCTAGTGACAACTTGTGATGCTACACACTGTGGTAAGAGGGAACTATCACACCGGAAGAAAACGATCGGCTCAAAGCTCACAGGCTACCTAGTTACCCAACCATCTATTCCAATTTTCAAACACAATGCATGGCAATTGTAAGCAACAAGTGATCAAGTCAAGACATCCATTCATTTATGCACACCTGAGAGCTAAACATTTGCCCTATCCTAATAAACTTCTCAGTCATCATCACAGGATATACTCGATCACATGCAACAATTCAAGACCAATGCCCAAAAACACGAGAATTGCCCACCATCCGGCCACTTTGATCATGCAAACATTGCTTGGAGCCCTCAAAATTTTGAAATTTGGGCATACAAAAGGCTCCAAGCAACATCACACTCAAACAAGCATAATAGTAGACTACCCCTCAACACTTAAACTCGGCATTGCCCTCAATGGCAAAAGAAAGGGGTAGAGTAACGTTACCGCTTGGGCTTGGTGAGTGAAAGTTGAAATCGAACTGGGGTAGGATAATTGAGCTTCAAGGAGAGACAAACAACACACACAAGCACAATACTACTCGCTCGAGGCGAGGTTATTACAAGCACAATACATAGTAGTAGTTTATGTCACACACACACAAAATGAAGAAAAATAACAAAAACAAAACAACACGAGTTCAGGGTTACAAGTAGAGAAGTGGGGCAAAAGAACTCCGCTCTGTCACATGTCTCACTCGTCGGCTACCTCTCTCCGGTGGATGGACCCTCTCCATCATCGGGTAGGATACCCTGTCGTCGAGCCATGAGCTCGAGGATGTCGGACTACCGCTCGAGACGGGATGAGAATCCCATGAAGCTCGTCTCAAGGTGATCCACCCTCTGGACGAGGGGATCACTTGCTCTTGGTGGTGGTGACTGCTGTGCAGCGCGTGGGAGCGCTGGGTGCCGGCGGTGGCTGGGTGCACGAGCAGGTGGCTGCTCTGCTGCTGGTGGGTCCTCGGGGTTGGGATCCACTCGAGCCGGTGCTGCTGCAGCTCGGATGACTCCGGAAGGTCGGAGTCCGTCAAGGTACTCCACTCCTCTCTCGCCATGGAGTACCAACTTTTGGTTATATAATGTCTCCACTAGGAAGGGCTCCATCCTTCCGACGATGGTGCAGCGGGCCAGATCCACCTAGAAGTGCGGGCGATCCTCGTGATGATGCCCCCATGTGCATAGTGTCCACTCTGTTCCGCCCCAAGCACCGGGCAAAAGAGGTGGCAATCAATGGACTCCTCATCGAGTAGAGGGCAATGAGCCCTCTGTTCGTCATCAAATGGCCTGACTGGAGGCTGGGGACGACGGAACTGGTGAGCAGAGTGTGGAGAATCCTCTGTAGACACCACATTTTGTCCGGGATAATCGTTCTACTAAAAAAACAACTCGATGTAACATTGCTTAACAAATATATTTGAAAAGATAACTTGAAGTGAATTGGTCGATATGTGATTATCAATTATTGTTCTACGCATTGAGATTAGGAATTTAGTGCGCTCCCTGTTTTGGATGTTGATATGAATTACAATATATAGAGCACGAATCAGTAGACTAAAATAAACTTTGCTAATTGATTTCTTACATCGTAATTTGCATCGAGAATTACATTGACATTGAAGGAAAATGAAATTACATGAGCCATTACAAAATCTACATATACAAAGAAAACCAGTCAGATCAAGGCCTGATTCCAAGCCCACAACAAACATCCGGCCCAACTCGGCCCGTTTTGAACCCAGTTGATTCCATACCTGAGTCGGCCCAACCTTATCCATTGGCCCAACCAGCACAGAATTGTGCGCCAACCCTATCCTGACCATGCAGAACCGACCAACTGTGTGGAGGTCTCACAATTTGCCAATGAAGAGAAGACACATGACAGTTCATTTTGCTTTAAATGAGCTCCTTGAGCTCTTGCGTTGAGGGGGGAAGAGAAGAAGACATACAGAAAATTCTAATACACTCAATCTTTTTCATTACTACAAGCTGAGTCCAGGAATCGGATCGGAGCAACATCAAGTAGGCGTTATTGGAGCCAAAATATTAATAAGGTTGGTGCTCTTATTTCTGTTTCCATTGTTCTTGGTAAAGTTCATGTCATTTGGCGTAGTTTCTAGATCATTGTACCATTATAATCAGCATTATATTCATTGCGATTTACTTTACAAAGGCATTTGTATTCAAGCACTCTACTTACTTAAAATAAAATCGGCTCATAGCAAGTCCGTTTCGGAATTAAGCTTTTCTCAATTGAGCATGTATTTACTTTGCTTATCAATTGATAGTCTATTTTAATTTTCTGCCATGCTTTTATACCATCCTTGAGCATGTAGTTGATAAATACTAAATCATCATACATAAACAAACTAAATCAAAATCCAGATCTAGGCAACAATAAACACAAAACAAATTTCAGATTTTAAAACCCACACCATTATCTACGAGCAGTAGCAGTGATGTATATAGTTATAATCTAGCAAGAATCGCAAGCAATGGCGGCGATACATAGAACCCAAAATTAGCAATTTTCATTCTTATTGAATTTCAAAAGCACATATGCTTGAAATCTCATTACCTATAAAAAATTTCAGAAATTTAGTTTGGATCAAAACTATCAGACCCGAAATTTAACAATAAAAATCTATGTCTCCAATTGTACCCTACCATACTATTCTAAGCCAAATTAAAACTAAAATATCATTTCAGAATAATTCAAACTCACACAACCATTATTATAGAAAATCCAGATCTGTTAGCTACCCTTAAATCTATAAACCATATGATCCTTATTTTTTAGTTTAAACAAACTCCTATATCGAGTTGAGTTTAGAAAACCTCACCCAGATCCGGCCTCTCTTCCAAACCTGCAAAAAATGAAGAATAAAGTCTGAATTAGATTATGCTTTTGTTTAAAAAAAAAGACAAATAAAATAACAGATTTAGAAACCAAAAGTCTCACCTTTCCCTCTGTTCGCCGGTGACCTCGTCCTTCCTCCGAGACCAGAAAACGAGTATGTTTTTTTTTGTCCTTATTTCGAAACCAGATACCAAAAACAAAAGAAAACGAAAATAAACTAAGTAGAATCCAGTTGAATATCAGAAAATAGAAAGAAAAAAGGCCATGCATGTCTCGATCTTACCAAGATCGAAACCTTCTAGGCTGATTTAACTCGACGCAAGCGGTCTCCTTGGCTAACCGAGAGAAAGAAAGAGAGAGGTGCGGCGGTTGAAAGGAGAAGAGAGTTGTTTTAGGTTTTGATTTCGGTTTCTCTGGAAGGGAAGGAAGAAGAAGAGGCTGGCGGCGGTGAAAACCCAGAGGGGTTTTTGGTTCGAAGAAGAGAGGTGAGAGGTGAGAGTGAGAGGGCGGCGTTGTTTAGTTTGGCTAGGGTTTCGTTGGTGTGTTTTTTTGTTCTGGGACGAGAAGAGTAGAGAGAAAGGTTGGAGGCGGCCGTCGCTAGGGTTTGGTTTCGTTTTAAGAAGAGGTTTATATATACCTCATCAATTATGAAGACAAAAATTCCCCTAGGGTTTCCTAATTACTACTCGTCTTGCCACCACGTTTTTGCGAAATTACCACAGTACCCCTCTTGTGTTTGTAAAAATATAAAAAACAAGGCTCAGTCCGGGATTCGAACCCGACACCTCCAGCCACCGAAGTTAGTTAAACCAACGAGTAGACCAGTTGGTATCCGATTATTTTGCTTAATGAGTTAGTGTGATTTTATCAGCAAATAGTCTTCGAGTTAAGTCAATTCCATTATTTTCAAATACTCAAACCTTTATTCGTGTTTCATCAATTAACATATTATTCGATTTTAAAAAATATTTTACAACCACAATCAGAGGGACGTGCTTATAACTAAAATATCAAAGTTAACCAACGAACTACGTGGACTTTGATCCCGTCTAACGGGTACGTAGGCAACCGATAAGGTTCGAGTCCAACTAATCAACTAACTTTATCTTTAAATTTTTACGTCAGTGGGCGTATAATTAAATTAAAACTAATATGATTAAATCATTAAATGGTCCAGTGGGACCCCAAAAATACAAAATCATTACTAAAATACACCCAACTCGCATAAAAACTTATCGACTTAAGTAGTACCGATTTAGGGCGTTGTGGGGTGTGATTTCACTTCCCCACACGTAACCGTACTCCCAAACCCGAATCTCTTAATCGTAGACCAAGCCCCGGTTCTGACCTAAGGTTAGAGCCGACCGAAGAGTGTTCGATCCACTCCAAGTAAGATCGATGGCGACTCCCAAAAATGCCGACGCGACGACATCGGACCCCTGGAGGGACGGTTGCGACATCCTCTACTGGGTCTTCAGCCTCACCGCATTGGTGCGACTCCCCTCGAACTCGTCCTGCTCGTGCTCTGGGTGGCAGAGGGCTCGGAATGCGCCCTGATAGTTGAAGTCGATAGTGAACTGCCGCTCCGTCATCGTCATGTGGGCGGTGTCAAGCCCCATGGCCTGATTAAAAACATCATAGGTTAGCACTCGTGGCTGACCTCCCCACATAAACTCCACCCGTGGCCGGCTCTTCTTACTGGCCGAGACGATGTGTGAGAAGGTGGAGTAGAACTCCACGCACAGCTCATGGAAGATCTCCTGAACAAGTTAACCTGTCCAGGTCCAGCCGCCAGTGAGGACCAATCGGGCTGCCATTCTGGTAGGCGAACTTGTCGCCAAACTCCGGGTGGTTCACCAGATAATTAATGAACTCATGCTCCAAGTTAAGCATCCTGCACAAGCATAAACACACACCATACGTGGAAATAATCGTCATATACCGCTCATTGGAAGGAAAAGAGATCCCTCACACTTATTTTTCCACCATGGTTTCTCAAACATTTAAGCTCAAACCACCATGGTATGGTTGTGGTTATTTCACGATTCAAGCACACAAGAAATTGAACCACAACCCTAACCCCGGTGGCTATCATCCACCCAAAAAAAACAAACTCCACTTGCATTCATAACATAGCACTTGGTGGGCTAATTCTAAAAATAAACACAATTCGGCTCAAAAACGCCCACAAGGCTCACTAAGCTCATGCAAAAATCAATCCATCATTCATTCGACCTAATTTACCTAATTCGTCTCCCTAAATCTAGATTCAATCATGCAAAGCACAAAAACTTAACCTCACTTCACTACCTAATCCGATTCTCCACAATTCACAAAGGTAAAGTCGAAAACAAACCTGGAGACTCAAGTAGGACGAAGGAGGAACTGAGGTGCGGGTGAGGACGGTGAAAAATGGTCGGAAAACTGACCGGAGAAGGGCTGCCAAAGCTTCGTCGGAAGCTCGCCGGAGACTCACTGCCGGTGACTTGATCAGAAATAATGTGCTCCAAATCTCCCCAAATTCATAGCACATGCCGGTTTTGAGGAGAGGAGACTGGGTATCACGTTGGTTTATGGTTTTGCTCGTCGGAAATGGGGGAAAAATCAAAAAACCGACGAATTTTTGCGTTTTTCGATGAAGATTTGAAATTTTACGGCGATATTTTGTTCGTGAAGTGAAGAGTCTTCGTCCACGCCGCTTTTATAAGCACAACTCGGAGTTTACGGACGCGTTGCCCAGTTCACGGTCTTAGCGACCGTGAACTCTCAAACGCGTCCGTGAACACAGAGTCGTTGACAGGTGGTGAACATGCATCAGTACCCAGTTCACGAACGCGTTTTCCTGTTCACGGTCTTGTAAGACCGTAAACTTAGCAATCTGTCCATGAACTCAAGTGAAAACAAGGCACTTCTGCAAACAAATTTGACTCAACCTATTCCTCCGTGCCTCCTAATCGATCACAACACAACCATAAACCGCAAAACCACAACACCCGACACGGGGACACCACTTCACCACTCGAACTCTTCACAAGACACTAAAACGAAAACTAAGGAAAAGAAAACAAACCTCTATTGGGTTGCCTCCCAACAAGCTCTTGTTTATCGTCATTAGCTTGACTGTTGGGGATTGATCACGACTTCAAACGTGATGCCACCGAGAGCGGATCCACCACACTTTTTGGGGCGCGACTTGTAGCCTTCCATCTTAGGCTCCTTGAGTTGGCCCTCATGGTTAGCCAACATTGCTTCGGCCTCCCCCATCTTCCGGGCCAAAACTCCCTTCATCCTTCTTCTCCAAGCACTCATCCTCGATCCTTTGGGCTTAGGATCCTTCTTAACTTTCTGCTCAACATTTGAAATCACTCCCTTCACTTCATTTGAAATCACTCCCTTCACTTCATCACTCCTAACGCTAGGATCAATTTCAAGTTGGATTCTCTCCCTACCATCCCTCCTTGAGTTGTCACCTTGTGATTGGTACGGTTGTTGGAAATTTGAGCCTTGGAGTTGGGGTCTTTGTTGGATGAAGGTGGGCCGAGGTTGGAAATTTCCCGTGGGGCCTCGGATTAGTTGGTGATGACCAAGCAAAGTTTGGGTGGTTCCTCCATCCGGGGTTATAAGTATTGCTATACGGGTT